ACAGAAAACTGCACAAAAGAAAAGTCTGTCATCCCATTCTTGGGAGATCACCTCCAGGAACATTTTGGTTTGTCCTTTTTTAAGATGGCTCAATGCCTGATATTTGGGTTTCCAGGAAAGTCTGAATTTAATGATAAATTGTGAAATCTTCTCAAATGTCCAGTTATTGGAAATTGAGTGCTGGCATCATTTTGGTGGGCAGAACAGTGCTGGCCCTCTGGCTCACTCAGTCATTAATTTCCTTCCCTTACTTGTAAACTGAACAGATATTTAGTGAGCATTCATCATGTGCCAGGCACTGTGTCGGGCGGGTATCAGGGATACAAATAGGATGAGACTGTTCTAGTCCCTGTCCTCGTAGAGATTACATTCCAGTCAGGAAAACATAATTAATGCTTAGTTACAATTGCAAAGCAATGCAGGCACTATGAAGTTGTATACCAGTGTCTCCTGAGATTTTGCACTTACTTTGTCTGGTTTATGCTAGAACCAGCCTTGCTACTCAGAGCAGCCCGCAGATGATGAGGTCTGGGAATGTGTCAGAAAAGCACTCTCAGGCCTGAACCAGACCTTCTAAAATCAGGATCTGCTATTTAGCAATATCCCAGGGGATTCACAGGGCACATTTTGGGTTTGAAGAACACTGGCCTTAAGGATGGTGGAAATCAAGAGTGGAGGGAGGGGCAAGACCTGCCAGGCCCTGGAGCAGGCTCCTGGTGGGAAGGTACTCAGCACTTTGAGCTGGTGAAGGAAGCCCAGTGTGGCAGGGACCCGGGGCCGAGCAAGGCTGGTGGAATCAGCAGGGTGGTTCTCGGTTTGGGGCTAGCCATGGGTTTGGGACAACTTATCCTCCACCTCCCATCACTGAGGGCTGTTGTGAGGATCAGATCAGTTAATGTGTCTGAAATGTTCACAGCTATGAGACCCCATCACTGCTACGCTTACGAAGAGAAACAGTAGAGATGTGGTATTCGGGATGCTCACCATGTCCAGAACACCTGGTGAGGTGGAACTCAAGTCAGTCAGTCATGGTGCCCATGCGAATAGTTTATCAAACTCAACCCAAGCACTGGTAGTGATGAAAAAAGACTCTTTAGCTTTAACTTTGTATATTGGGAGAGGTAGAGAGGAGGGAGTGGCTACAAATTGTGGAACCTGTGGGGTTTGAGCCACCTGGTTCCAGTGTCACCTCTTTCTTCCGAGTCTCACTTCCTGGTTTAGGCTGAGTAGTCAGCCTTATTTTTCATACTCGGGCAGCTCCCCTTTCCTACTGTGTTGTCAGGCCCAGAGGAGCAGGACAAAGCGGGTGACCAACCTCTGATTGGACTGATTACCAACCTCTGCGCCATCTTTCTCTTAACTTTGAAGGCTAAAGAGAAGGGATAAAACTTAAAAAAAAAAAAACAAAAACCACTCAGCCAAAACAAAACAACTGCAGAAGAAAATAAAAAGAAAAACTGTGCATCCTTTTGAAAGTCAAGGCCTTGAATTTCAAGGTCTTTTATTCCCATTATTTACTCTTATTAATCGGATTGAAGTATCTGGTTTCCGGAGCTCTTACCTACTACCAGGCCTCCTCTTCTGATCCACCCGTGTAATTCCATACCAGGCCTGGAAGGTGGACCCTGACCCAGAGCGTCCTCTTTGTTCTCCATTTTCACATTCCACCCTGTGGCCTGAGGCGCTGCACTAGCTAATCAGCTGGATTTACAACCTGAAACCACTCCATCTCCTCGGTATCCATCCTTAACATTTGTACAACACAGGTCCTCAAAGGTGTTTACAGCACACTTTCCGCCATCTACCAGTTTATTTGCCCTCACAACAGTATGGGCTTTAAAAAATTTCATTTTAAATTCCAAATTTGTGGAAAGGCGAATCCTGGCAAAGCACTTTCAGGAGAGCAGTTTGAGATTATCGACTGGATTTAGAGGTAGGCAGGAACAGGAGACAGGAATTCGTTCCAGTAGTTGTTTTAGAGAATCTTGCAATGTCATTATCGTCAGAAAATAAAAGTTTCACAAGTAATAGGTGTATTCCTTTACTTCTGAAATTTGTATAAGCGCGTTATATAAAAAAGAAAAGTCTTTCTTGACATCTTCCCATCTTTACTTGTTCATCTTCCCCAAGGTACCTTTATGGGTTTGGCAGGTATCTTTCCAAATTTAGTGTTGTTCTGCCATATATACCTACATCATCATGTATACCCATCAGTCATTCCCAATGACGTTTTTTTCCATTGGCATTTTGTTTCTGATATCTAGCTACACTTTCATAATGGATTCATGTTTGTGGCTAAATTCTACTCCCTCAAACCCATGTCACTAATTTATTCATTCTCCTTTGGAAGAACGGTTAAGTCACTTCCAATTTCTTGCTTTGGCAAGCACTGCAACAATGAATGCCTTTGTATATTTCTCTTAACACCTATGTGGAAATGTTTCCTGAATCCTAAGAGAGAAATTATTGGGTCACGAATGCACTTTTTCAGTTTTAACAACTGCTGCTGAACTAAAGAGCCTTTCCAATTGATACACCCAAAATCAATGCATATGTCTCTCCATAACCCTGCAGAAATCCTTGTTCTTGTTAGACTTGTCCATGTATAATTTTCAAAAGTTAAATATGACTTTCGAATATGTTTCTACAAATAAGGAGTGCACATGTATCAAAAATTTATTCAGTTCACTAATTAATGAGAAAATCTGTAAGGTAAAAAAGCTATTTGAAGGACCATTTGGGGAATTGTGTTACTATAGTCCTTAACAAAATATTAAAAGATGGCTAGGCTATATACAAGAATGGTTAACGTCCCACAGGGCAATAAATGATAAACTTTGAGGTTACCTTTTCTCTGGGACAAATATTATTTGCATCTCCACCAGGCACAAATCTTAAAATTAATATATAAAAAGTTTATATATATATATATATAGTTATATATATAAAGTTATATATATCAAAAGTTAATATATAACTTTACGGAGTCTTAGCCATTCATTAAAAGAAGCGGCAATATCATACAATGGTACAGTTCCCTAGAAAATGAAGTAGACCTCTGGCCTCTCAACGATGCTCTAATATGACACTGAAAGGACATGCACTGCAAGGATGACTACACTTTTGGCTTTAGATCCAGGTTTTGGATAATTTTTCTTTACAGATTTTTAAAATTTGTATCAATGCAATGGATTTAGAAATGCATTTATTGCGTTTTAATCTGAATTTTGGGACTTATTAGTGACTGTCGGGCATTGTTATTTTTACTAGGTCATCCAGTTTTCTCTAGTTCCAGGTCCCTGCAAACAAACATTAGTGATGTGAAAATACCTTTTTTTCCTTTAGTGACCAGGAACGCCTGGCACAAACTGAAGGGCGGCTTCACCAAGTTAGGCCTTCTCCACAACAGGGGAATGGAGGCTTGATTTTTCCCGGTGAAGATTTGACACAGCAAAGTGTGCCCCTAAAACTGCATGCACAAAAGCGCCTTAATTCTGGCCTTGAAAGTCCTAGAGGTGCTGCCCACGCCGGTGTCAGAAAAGGGGTGTGTCCAGGGAGGATGAGTGTGTGTGGTTGTGTGTGTGTGGGGGGGGCGTAGGTTCAGCGGGTTTTTGTTGTGAGAGGTGGAACTCAGCTCTGCTCAGTTCTCTTAGGTCCCTTACTTGGCTGATCCCCTTGGTCAGGCTACCAATCACTCAACACTTACTGAGCCCCTCCAAGGGCGGGCTCCAGGCAGATTTTTCACAGGGCAAATGGGGATCACGACCAACACAAGGAGGTGAAGATAGACCTAGATGGTGAGCTTTGAAGATATATCCGCAGATCTGAATAAAATCTGGCGGTGGCGATGTGTCTGGATTGAGTTAAGTGATCCGTAGTAAGGCCTGGGCCCTAGTGGGGCTTTGGAGACTGTGTAACTGCAAAGCGCTGTAGGGCTTGGCCCTGGCTCTTTCCACCCCTGCCCAGAACAAGCGATGTGATACTTCTGGAATCAAATTCAATTCTTAAACAATTTCTTGAAATCATCTTCTAGTTAGGAGCAGCCTAAGCGGCTTGAGGCTGTGAATGAATCCCAGTTACTGTGAACCCGTTTTCTTCCTATGTGGGCAAACCCCCAGTTGGACTCTCGAAATCCCTGTTTCACAAAAGGCTACCTGCTCACTCGGGGACACTCGTCCCTGTCATCAGTTTGTCGTACATCTTAGCAGAGGGGCCCCCCTTCCCCTTTTAGAGGATGATCCTCGGCTGCGGGCCCAGGTCCTAGGGGACGCCCCTTCCCTGGTTGGGGCCTGCCCCCGTATCTGTCTTTCCGGCCGTGTCCCCGTCAGTCTGCAGCCAGCGTCCTGGCCAGGACAAGGCTGTGGCACGACTGGAATGCGCGAGGCGGACGCGGGGGGGACGCGGGACTGACGCGGGAAGTGGGGGACCCGGGACAGACGCACGGGGCGGGGAAACTCAGGGCGAAAGCGGAGACGGGGCGCGGGCTCTCCGGAGGGGCTGCGGCGCGAAGAAGAGGACGAGGCAAACAGTCTCCACGCCCGGCGAGTCGAGTCCCGGGTTCGGAGTGTGGCCCGAAGCCTCCTCGTGCGCCCCACCCACACTTCAGCTCCGGCCCGGCCACAGTGAAGTCCCAGCACTGACGTGGGCGAGGCGAGGCGCGCTGTCCCCGGCCCAGAGCGCGCCGGAGGACCCAGAAGAGACAAGAAAAAAAGTCTCCGAGAACCCTCGAGCGTCGGCCCGCCACGCCCTCCCTTCCCGGTTTCCAGTCCAGTCACTGGCCGGTGGGGGAGGAAGTGGAGGGGGCGGTCCGGGGCCGGGCCGGGGGCGCAGAGGCGGGGCCCAGCGCTCCGGTTTCAGCCCCCATTCCGCCCGCAGGGGCCCACGCGGCCCCCACAGCGCGGGCTCGGGCGTAGGCGGCGCGGGGCAGTGTCCGGCGGGCAGGGCCACCTCCTCGCCGGGCGTCCCGCGGCAGGCCCTCGCACCCGGAGGCGGAGGAAAGCGGAGGAAAGCGGACCTGCCGCGGCCCCGAGGTCGACGACCGCGCCGCCCGCCGTGGGAAGAGCCTTATAAAGCCGCCGCTCACCCGCCCCGAGCGACTCCAGCCGCGCTGTCTCGGACGCGTGCGCTGGGTCCGGGCGGACTGGAGATCGACGTCCGACGGACCCGGATCCCGGACAGACCCCCGGCCGACAGCGAGCACACAGCGGCCCGGACGCGCCTCCTGCTGGCGGGCAGCGGGGGCCGAGGGCGCCCCGGCGGCCGGGGCATGCGTGGCGCGCGTTATGGCCTCGGCGGTGTTTGAGGGCACCTCGCTCGTGAATATGTTCGTGCGCGGCTGCTGGGTGAACGGCATTCGCAGGCTCATCGTCAGCCGGCGCGGTGACGAGGAGGAGTTCTTCGAGATTCGCACGGAGTGGTCGGACCGAAGCGTGCTCTACCTGCACCGCAGCTTCGCCGACCTGGGCCGCTTGTGGCAGCGGCTCCGGGACGCCTTCCCGGAGGACCGGCCGGAGCTGGCGCGCGCGCCGCTACGCCAAGGTGCGGGGGCCGCGGGTTCCGGGGTGGGGCCGGGTACGCCTTCCATGGGGTCCTAGGGAGAGGCTGGGTTGCTAGATTGTTTTAAAGTGCGTGAAACGGAGAGGGGAAGGCAAATGGGAAGTTACTTAAACCGAGATTGCGGCTCTCTCCTTGATCCCCGGCACGGGGCAGGGGACACTTCGATCCTCCGCTCCCAGTTGAAGAGTGGTAAGAGGATAAGGAGCCAGCCCAAGGAACCCCGAAGCTTTCCCGGCCGAGGGCACCAGGATATGTGCTCTGACAGTCACTTAGGACGAATCACTGACTAGCCCTGGTGCGGCGGCCAGTGTAGGGGTGGCCCGCACTCTTCTCAGTCTAAGCCCTTGCTCCGGACTAGTAATCGGCTCCCTCCGCACTTTCAGAAGCGCGGGATTCGACCCCTGCGGCGTCCAGACGGCGGCAGGAGGGGGCTGGGGAAACGTTTGGGAAGAGTTAAGGACAGTGGCCAGTTGGGGGTCGCGTCGTGTCTGGCAGCTGCCCCTCTGAGTCGTCCTTTGGGAGGGGCCGCGCCTCGACTTCTTCGCCGAAAGAGGAGCTTGAGTGCGAATTGCCACGCAGCCTTCTGTCACTGCTTGGGAGGGGCAGCTCTACGGGCAGCTGCAGAGGAAAGCTCGGGTCCCCACCCCAAGGGTGGGTCCACATTCGGATTTGGTTAACTGCAACGTTCTCCTCCCTCGCCTTGTGACTGGTCTTGGCTCTTGGGGACTCAAGCTTTCAGAAAACTGCTGTGGCTTCCCATTTCCTACTGCCTGGCTGACGCCCATCCCACAGGCTGCCTTTTGGAGGCCAGGCAAAGGAGGTTGAAAGAGGGGAGGAAGGGCCGAAGAGACTCCGGTAGAGATGGGAAGGATCGCAGAGGGCGGAATAAAGGGCCAGGAAAGTCTGTAGGGCTTCTGAGCAGCCGCAGTTCCTTTACCCACACTGGGTGACCACCTGCATCTGGATGACACCCAGAAGCCTTCCCTTCTGCAGTCCTCTAAGGGGAGACCTGATGTCACTTTGGAGGCATTTACTGAAGCTGAGGATGGCCTGGGAGAAGTCTTAGCTGCTGGTCAACCTGAGGCCTTAAGATAACCTCCGCTTACCCCTGGTGATGGCCCCCCACCGCAGAGTGTGAATCACATGGACCATTAGCTCAGCTCCCAGGACATCCTCTGGCAGACCATCGTTTTTGGAAGCCTCCCAGAGCCAGCAAGTTTGGAGGCCCCGAGTGAGACAGCTCACTGCTCAGTTTTCTCTGCTGTCCGGATTCTCACATTTATAGCCATTCTAGAGATAGTTCAGTGTTATTTTAAACATGGCAGCAGTTTTCCTTGGGTTTGCTATTTGTTTTTTGCTTTTTTAATTTTAAAAATCTTTTCTGGAGAACATGTTTTCATTGCCTTTTGAGAGAGAAAGAGAGAGAGACATGGATATGAAAAACATCGATTGGTTGCCTCTCATACACACCCCAACCGGGGATCAAACCCACAACCTAGGTAGGTACCCTTACTGTGGATTGAATTTGTAACCTTTTGGTGTGCAGGGATGACCATCCAACTAACTGAGCAACCCAGCCAGGGGCTAAAGGACTGTATATCAGCCCACGATGGAACTGGCTAGATTTCTATAAAAGCTGGCTCAGCACTGCTTGGGACCAGGGTAGGGGTGACCTTAATTCTCCATTTAGTCCTTGATTCTCTGCATGGAAGTAAGCTGCTTCTTCCCAAAGTACCATCTAAGTTTTATGTATAATCCTAAGGGAAGTCCTTTTCCTTTGTCAGATCTTTTGAAGTCCAGGCAAATGATTTTTAAAGTGAAACACATCACAATAATGTAAAAAAAAAAAGAGTCCACCTCATTTCCATGTGCCAGGTGTCATCCTAGGAGCTAGGGACACAGTAGTGAACAACACACACACATACACACAATCCCCGCCCTCATGATTCTTATGTGGTTGGGAGAAATCTAGTAACAAGCAAAATAAGTAAAAAAATATTTTAGATAGTGATAAATGTTCAGGAAAAATAAAGTAAGCAAGGAAAGAAGCTATCGGTAGTGGGAGCAGTAAGGGTAGAGTGGTCTGGAAGGTCCCACAGGAAGTGGTCTTTGGAGAGCTGAAGGAAGGGAGCGAGCCAAACCACGTCGCTGCCTGGGGAAGAAAGAGCATTCCAGACAGAGGCAAGAGCACGTGCAAAGGACCTGAGGCCTGCAGTTGCCTGGTGACTGAATGGTGAGGGGGCCATCGTGGCCGGAGTGGAGAGTGTAGTAGGAGTCGATTAGGGAGGCACAGAGTGGGCAAATCACACTTAAACTTGGACTCTTATGAAGAGATGGAGAGCTTGGAGCAGAGGAGTGGCTTGATCTGTCACCACACTCCGGCTGCTGTGCTGGGAGAGACTCCGGAGGGAAGCCCAGCAGGAGTTTCTGGGACATTGTGGCAGGTGCAGCAGAGCAGGTGTGACACGTGGTCAAGCACCAATATACACGTCTGAAGGGAGAGGCACAGCATTTACTGAGAGACCATACGTGGGGTGCAAAGGAGTGTTGGGCCAAAAGCAACGCTTTCAGCTGGAGAAGTGAAATTGCCATTCACTGAGACAGGAAGCCTGCAAGAGGAGCTGGTGAAGGGCCCAGCTTTGAGTGTCGCACTTCAGCGTTTTCTCCAAGTAAGGCCCCTCATTGAGAGCCTGTGTGGTACTAGTGCACGTCTGTGTTCACCTTTACTACTGAATATATTGATCTACCTGGGCATTGTAGACTGTCTGTTCTTAGATTTGAGACCCAAGGGGTGAGTTAAGGCATCCAGGGTATTATCAGGAAGGTGTGGACACAGACACACCCACCGGCCTCCCACAACCCTGACAGTGGAAGGAGATGTGTGCTCTGCTCCCAGGCCCTGAGCCTGGCCCCTTACTCTCACGAGGGCAGAGAGGGGAGGAGCTCTGTGCTATCCCAGAACCAGCTAGGAGAAGACCATCTGATGGAGGGGACCCACTGCAGAGTCACCGAGTTTACCTGCCATGTGGCTGAAGAAAGTGCACAGTGCACATGGGTCTGGGCAGCAGATCAGGGCCACAAAGGCCATCTCTGCCCAGCCTGGTGGGTGCTTGGGTGAGCCGGCCCCTCGCCTGTGATACAACCCCCACCCTGGCATAGCTTCACCTCAGGGTATCCTGCCCTTCCTAGTGGACAGTTTTCGCTTCTCGGGGATTTGAGGCACCCTTTCTGCAGCACAGGCCAGTTCTGAGTCTCTTCATGTGTGGTGCTCCGGGGCCAGGTGCTCTCCCAGGCCCCCAGCTCGCTCTGCCACCCCATTTTGGTGCTGGGACTGCCCACCTCCTTGGAGCCTGTTCTTTCTCCTCCTTCTGTCTCATCTTTCCCAAACCTGCACCCTGCTGCCCCCCAGACTTTGTCCTTATTTCCATTCCTTTCTGTGTAAGTAGCCACATGTCTGAGTTTGGTTCACGGTCCAGGAATCTCATCCCATCAGATATCTTTGTGCTGTGGGCACCAGGTGACCGGAGCTAACCCTTCAGCTAGAGAAGGAGCCGGCCAGGAACACATGTAGGTGGTTCAGTAGCTGGCGCTTTTGGTTGTGGTGCTTCCCACCAAATTTCAAAGGAGAAACTTGGTTCCGCTTCTGGATCAGACAGTACCCTGAACCCACTGTAGCATCCTGGCTGCTCCCAGGATGGGCCTAAGGGACACAGCTCCCCTTCCCTTTTTGAAAGAAGGCTAGTCCTCACATTTCTCTGCTGTCTCTTTTTAAAAACACTTTGTTAAAAGGTGAAAGATGTTTTTGCATTGTGGACAGTCAACAGCCAGGGAGAGCAGGTGCCAGAGCGCGGCCCACCGCGCCTGGCAGCGCCCTCACCAGGTGTGGCCCTCCATCCTCCTGTCCGGGGAAGGCAGGGATGGTGGTAGAACCTAAAGAGAGTGCACCCAAAGGGTTCCCCTCCATCATCTTAGCGGGGCTCCCATAGACCAGGCCTGTGGCTTTACTGGGGCAGAGACTAGAGTTTGGTGCTTCTTGTGGGTCAGACCCAGGGACTGTGCTCCAGGGGGCAGTTTCGTGAGGGGCTGATTACTGTGAAAAACTGGGGGCTGGGGCGTGCATTACCATCAGAAACAGACTTGCCAGGTGAACAGGGTTCTGGTGGCCAGAGCCTGCATGGGAGGCCATGGCTGCCCTTCGTTACCACGGGCAAACCCTGTCATGTGGCGTCTTGCTGGTCTCAGCCCTCCCTACGCCTGCCTTAGCCACTCGGGCCTCCTCAGGGCCTTTGTACTTCAGATCCCGCAGCCTGTTCCTCCTTTCCCTTCCTCAGCCCCTTCCTTCACACCTCTGAACCTGAGAGGGTGGCTTCCTTGCTCTGAGCCTTCCTGGCCTCCCAGGGGACACCCCACTCACTATGGCCAGTGTTCACCTCCTATCCCTCCTCCTGGCTAGCATGAAAGCACTGGGGAGGCATGGCCCTTGCCCGGCTTGTTGGCTACGGCAGCTCCCACACCTGCTAAGTTTCCTGGCAAAAAGCGGGAGGGCAGGCAGTACTTTGGGGTGAGTGAGCGATCGGTGCTTCCTGCTGTGAGATCCTGGAATGGGGTGGTGGTCCCTCAACACCTTTGATATTTTAAGGCAGACCGGCTCAGTGAATGGCTTCTTAAACATGTTTGGTGAGGGAGTTCTTCTTATAGTGGGAGGATAATGAAGAGGCCTGGAGAAGGGGGGATTCAGGGGTAGACACAGTAAAGATCAGCACTTCTAAGTCAAACACATTTCCTCACATGAGAAAATAACATTCACACAAGGGAGCATCCCATAGCTATTGCAAGAAGCAGAGGAAGGAAGAATGTCTCCTCTCACCCCCTTCCTGGGCCCTGAGAAAGTGTTATTTTGTCTCTGCCTCGTCTGTCTCCCCTGCCCCTGTCTCTGCCCCTGCTTCTCATTCTTGGAAAGATGCAGAGAATTTAACCTGGAG